TATCGTAACACTACAAAAAAAAAATATATTTGTAACGGAATTCCGTCCCTAAAGTTCACGTAGTTAACGTAATTTTATTACTAATTCCGTCTCTAATGTCATTAGTAACGGAAAAAGTAAATTTAGAGACAAAAAAAGTTTTTTTACAAAAATAATTTTTTCTTCTAGTGTAAATAATTAGATTTTGTTTTATAAATATAAATTAAACTTTTGCGAAATTTTGATATTTATATCGTGACTTTAAATAGTTATAAAAACTTACAAAAATTATTTACTTACAATACAAGTAAAAAATAAAAATATTGAGGATGATCTTGTTATTTTGTTGTTACTTTAGATAGATATGAACGATAATAAAAAAATTATGGTTGTTTTCATTAGTTATACCGTGACTTTTGAAAATTTAGCATGACAATATTTGTAATAATTTAAAATATTGTAAATATTTTTGTTATTTGTGACAATATGTGTGATAATTTAAAATGTTGCAAATATTTTTGTTATTTGTGACAATATTTGTAATGAAATAATCAAAAGAAACGGAATATATTTATCTTGGACATTTTTGTTAAATAAACCTCTACTTTAAACACTCACATAAAGTTACTTGTAATTTTTTCTGCAAATACTATCTATGAAACAGTCAAAATAAGAAATTGTGACATAAATTTATCACGAAATTGCTCTCTGTAATTTTTAATTATCGCGAATTAAAATTTACGATAATTTTTCACAATTATAATTTTTTTTTCCCACTATATATATATTTCACCACATCAAGATATGGACTGTCTCTAGCGTATGGAAAGCAAATAAGATGAAAATAAATAATGAAGAGCTCATTATCTTTAAGAAAACAATATAATGTGGGCATAGTGACAGAACTATGTTTGATCCTTTTAAATTTAAAAGCATCCATTTGAAAAAAAGATAAGTATAAAACAAAAATTGAAGTTAGGAGAAAACTAATAGAGACATGGGTGAGAAAGGCAAATATTAGACCATGTACTAAGGTCATACGCCCTGAGCTAACACTTAAGCAATATAATTTTTATGGTTGATTTTTTTTTTTTAGATGGTTGTTCAATATAGATGAAATGAACTTCTCATTTAAGCCTATGAAAAATATTGTCTATATTGATTAGAAGTGATTTTACATAACAAAAGAGAGTGAGAAATACTATTTCATCATTGATAAACCCTAACCGTATAGATCATGCAAAAATAAGAGGTTTATCACTAAGTTAATGTTCTTGCGTGCCGGGAGTAGATGACAAGCAAAGTTTAAGCGATAAGTGGAATTAAGGAAAGGTTTTATATTCTTTGTATACTGTTAGCGATAGATATTGAATCAACAAAAATGTAATAAAATTAGTCTAAGAAAGCCGTCGAAGAGGAATCTAAATGGATGAGTGGTGTGATAGTTTCTTGCGAGTAAAATAACATACATGAGATGTGAGTGAGCAAAGTTTTGCTACACAGTAAATGTAGTGAAAGACTAAGATTTGCGAAAATTGATATATATATATATATATCTATATTAGGGATTGTCGTCGAAAAGTGGATAAGGGTGGTAGTGTGATTGTGAGGGAAGATATATATACTAATGGAGTGAAATAAAGTGTTATATGTGAAAAACATTGTGTATGATATCTTCAGAGTTGGGTTGGTGCTAGACCAACTCTATGGATAAGTCAATGCTAGGTTATTTGAGATTAAGTAGATATTAAATTGATTGAATATACTATTTTTATTAACAATTTGCATATTCTTTTTTAGGAGCTATACTGAAAAAACTATAGAATTAAACATATTTTCCTTAGAGTAATATAAGGGTAAGTGACCACCTGGAAAGTCTCGTAGGGTGCGTGAGAGTGAAGACAAAAGCGCATTCGAATGATTTCTGTTGCCCTATGGGGCCAACCTAATCTTGACATGCCCAGTCCGCGTGACTTGCGAGCCAGGATGTTATATTTGGTATCAGAGTCGACATGCGACATCTCATAATTGTTGACCAAAGTGTTGAGGGACCTAACAGTTGATGAATCTTTCGGGTGCAACATGCACGTTGAATTCTTAAGTGTGAGAGGATGTGATATCTTTGGAATTGGGCCGGTGCTACGCCAACTCCCATGTATGGATGAGTTGGCGCTAGGCCATTCGAGATTAAATAGATTGGATTGACTACTTATGTCAACAATGTGCACATTCTTTTTTGAAAACCCTACTAAAAGAATTCTAGAATTAAACGTCATTGCCATAGAATAATTTGAAGATAGGTGATCCATTGGGAAGTGTCTTAGAGTGCGCGTGAGTGAGGACAAAAACGCATTGTAGTGACTTGTATTGCCTGTGGGGCCAACCTTCCGACACGTTTGGCCTGTGTGACTTGTGGGCTGGAGTGTTATATTGTGTTCCTTAACAACTAGGTTACTTCAGATGAAATGAGCGAGATGATGATAGTACAATAGCAAAATATTATACATATAAGAGCGAAGGCTGAGTGATAGAATGCCTGTGATCACATTTGTTAATTTAAATTGAATTCTTGACTCGATTGATATTTAACCTTAGGAGTTACAATGAGATCTCCAGTTTAAAATATTATTTAAAAAAAAAACGTTACTGTCACTAGAAATTTCTGAAAATACTATCATTAGAAATTTTTGAAACCCGATAAGCAAACACATATGTTTAATTAATAATTACTTACAATTTTTTAACTAGTGACTCTATTTCTCTCATGCCTGTATTTAATCATAATTAAATTCAAATCACATACTTATTAGGACAAACTCAAATGCATTTTAATATATAAATATTTTTTGTAAATTGTATGTAACAAAAAAGAAGATTTTAAAAGACAAAGAAAACCAATCGACACACTTAATTTCTTTTCAAGTAGCTTGTGTGTCGTCAATATTATCGTGTTCTGCACTATTTGAAAATAACAACAAGTTGAATTAAATATATATATAAATATATATAAAATATGTGGTGTGTTTGGTTTCGATTTCAAACTCAAATTATTAATACAAATATATTATCATTTTATAAAAATATCACATCAAAATACATTTACACAAAAACTTAAATAAAAAATAATTATAAATTTTAAATGAAAATCAAACAAACTCGTGATATTTTTTTTAAAAAATCATATATTATATTTAAATAAAATATGTGTTCTTAATGAGATATTTTTAATAAAAATAAATATTTAATGCAAAATATTTTATGATGAAACACTATTTTATTAGTATAATATTAATAATTGGAAGAAAAATAAGAAATGAAAGGTATAATTTATTTTTCATTATTATTTGTATTATTACAATTTCCTTAAAAACCATCATATTCAACTAGTTACATTTTTCACATTAAATAACTATTACAATTTGAAAAAAAAAAAATTATTATTATTATTATAATAAAAAAGAAAACATACTTATAATTTTTTTTGCTTTTTAATATAAAAGGTATCTAAAAAGTGCATTCATCTAAAATGATTGCAACAAAAAACAAATGACCTCAAATTTAAGGTAATAAAGATCTCTTTATTTGTTGTCGTATACAATTGAAGATCACTTACCTAACGCACGAGGATACCATATGTTTACTGGACTATCAAATTCGAACAAAGAAAAAATAGACATGCAATATATTGTCGCAGTAAATACAACATATGTTATATTAACTGAAATTATGTATTGAGTTCATAGTTTATAATGTGTATTGTATGAACATACGTCGAGTTCAAACAATAATATATAATGTATGGGTCATTATTATATGTTGTAAATCAACCACACTCATTCATGTCCAAATAGCTCATCACAAATTAATTGCGACGATAGATACTTTTATTTCAACACATTCACACTTGTCAAAATACTTTTATTCAAGTGTTGAAAATTTAAATAAAACTTTCTCTTGTCTTTATATAAGTGTAGTATCTTATGTGCAACATGCAAAATCTGTGCAGCTCGTTGACCCATATTTGTTATACATCTCGATTTTTATAACAATTTATATAGAAATATGCACTATTCACCGCATAACTTGCACTATAGTTTGTGACGAAACATTTTGATTTTTAAGTAATTTACAATTACTCAAAATAATTTGACAACAGTTAAATCATCAATACATATATAATTATATATATCGATACATATTATTTGTTTATTTTATTTATTGTTTTTCAAACAAAATAAGAACTACCAAAATACTTTCGAAAACATGAATAAACATGCTTCAAAATTCTTTATCCCAAATTTTGTTACAGAAATTTAAACTCATTCCTATCACAAGTGAAAGAGATTCATTCTGTAAACCAAATCTCCATAAGATATATAACATGATCACAAGATGTATATATATATATTTATATATATGTCCGTGTAGTATATGTTTCTTGTTTGGTTTGAAAAGATTTAGTTTAAATTTTATATTAAAATAATATTTGGTGACATATTTTGTTAGAGAAAAATAAATTTTTTCTTTAAGAGAGAAAGACATAGTTTAAATAGTGTTATTAAACATATATACTTTAGTCCCAATACACTCTTCTTCTTCTTTCTTCTGATTGACTCACTAATTGTCATACCTACCTACATCTCTGCTTCTTGCAGCTGTTTGCAGTGTTTCCAGTGCTACTCCATATTCGTTTCTGAGTTCTCACTCATTGCTGCTTCAATCAAGTTTCATTTCATACACAATTTGTTAACGATAAAAATAAAAAAAATAAAAATGGAGAGACACACAAGATTTGCATGAAGTAATTATTTGTTTATGCCCTTCACTGCAATTTACATATATGAACAATGAATAACTGCTACATATATATATATATATATATCTCAGCTTTCATTTTATCTATAATTTTTATAATATTATTATTCTTCTTCTTCTTATTATTACATCTGCCTCCGATAGATCCATCTTCTCCGACGTCCTCCTCCTCCATCCTCCATCCACCTCCTTCCTCCTCCTCCATCTCACTGCCCGCCTTCTTCCTCGCCCTTGCAGGTGCCACTGTCGGCACAATCCTCCGTCTCAGCCTCCTCGGTCATGTCGCTCCACTCTAACGCGGACTCCACCGGCGCCGCCACATTCAGATCAAGCCTCCTCGGCCTCAGGAACTCGGAAAATACCGGCGATGGGACCCGGGCCGGTGGCGGTGGCTCCACGGCCACTTCCGTCGCCGGCGGTGGCGGTGGCGCATCCGCGCCGCCATCCACCACGACCCCCCCTGGGGCCTCGGTCTGTCGGTTCCCATTGCGCTTCAGAAAAATTCTGCATAGCACCCAGTTCCTCGCCTGCAACGCAATTAAGCAGAAAATCACAAATCTATCGATAAAATGAAGTAATCAAGTAGATCCATGATCGATCCCTACCTGTGCAGAAATGTGGGCAGGGATAACGAGGCTGTACTCGTGCATTATCCAGTCAGTCCTCTCCCCCGCCGGCGCCTTCCCCCGGTAGAAGACCAGCGTCTTCTTCATCCCTACCAGCACGAGCCCCTGGTAGTAGATCCGCCGGTCTACCCCGGTCGCCTTCCAGTACCCGGACACGGTCGCCCGGTTCGACCGGCTCCCGTTCGGATACTTGACCCGCTTCTGGCTGAAGAAGTATCTTTCTTCCTCAGCATCGCCTGAACCCAAAAAAAAACAATTAAACCCTGATTTCAACATAAAATCTAAATCCACACACACACAGATCTCATCCTGTCAATTTTTAGGAATTAACGTAACCTGGCAGATTCCATGGATCGACGCGGCAGACATCGGCCTCGGCTATGACGGAGACAGGCATCGGGTGGTTGATAACCTTCCGGCGAAGGTACTGCAGCACAAGCTCTTCGTCTGTCGGCTGGAAGCGGAACCCCGGCGGAAGCCCCACGGCGGCGCCGTCGTTCCCCCCCTGATTGACGCTCCTCGCCAAAGCAAGCCCGTTCGCCATTTCAGAAACGAAAACTGAATCTCAGAATTGATATTGACTCAAGGAGAGGAAACCTAGAGCGAGAAACTGCAGCCGTGGGGAAGAAAGGGTGAGAGTGAGGGCCTTTTATAGGGGTTTCGGGGCACCTTTCCGATTCCATAATCACATAATCATCTGGCGTAAGAAATACTCAATCAATCTGCTTGCTTGTTTGACGCAATTTCAAAAATCACCATTTTTATTTATTTGAATTTCTCTCTCTAACTTGCCTCTGCTTTTTTTTTTTTTACCCATTTTTTACAAAATCTAAAATATAATGTGAATTTTGTGACATATTGTAACCATGTTAAATTATTTGGTTCTACTTTTATATATAATTTATTAAATTAGATGTCTCCTTCTTTTTTACCCTATTGTTACAAAATATAAAATATAATGTGAATTTTGTGACATTATAGCTATGTTAATTATTTGATTATATTTTTATATATAATTTATTAAATTAGAAGTTTTATTGCATATACATGTAGCACGTATATAGGATATTGTTTATTTTTTTTATATAGATATTTTTGTACGTTTTTAATTTTGGTGTTTGGATAAAAATATTTCTGACACTACGTAAATAAGTTAAAATAAAAGTATTTGTAATGAGCTTTCGGAGGTCAGTATATGTGAGTTTCGAGTGCATTTTTATACAATTATCGGGTATATATATGCGACAAACAATGAAAAAAATATTAATTGAAGTTACATATCATTTTATCTTTGCAGCGATCATTTAATTTGGACGTACATTGCTTTTAGATATATGTACACGCATATTATTTAAGTGAATTTTACATTAATAAGAATTTGTCGGTTATTTTGGACGTACATTGTCCTTATGATCGATATATATTTACACGTGTATCATTTAACATATTTCTCGTTCAAATAAAATTCCAACAGTCATTTGGATGTACATTGCTTTTACATATTATACACGTGTATTATTTAAGTGGTTTTCGTGTTTAAATACATTTCTTAACTTCCGTCCAATGTCATTATATTTTGTCTCAATAAATTGGATCGGTTTTTAATTCAAGTTACATACATGGCCCTATTGAAAACGCTTGGGCCGTAAATTTGATATTTCTTCGATAAAGAATAAATCATTAGTTAAATTATAATTTACACATGTTGATCCAATTATATATGTTTTAACAATACATTTATAATATTTTTTCACAAAATATTATATCAAAATACTAGCTATTTAAATAAAAACTTAAATTGATTTTCAAACTACAACCAAATACATCCAAACATTTCACTAGATAAGTATAAATTAAAATAAAATAAAGCAACCATAAAATAAATAAATAAATTATAGTGTACACGCCAACATGCTACATTTTTTTACAAAAACAACAAAATAAACATGAATATATATATATATAAGTTATTAAAAGTATGGATTGAGTGGGTGACGGTTGAAATAAAGAGTAAATATTGTAAATGTCCCAATAAATGACAAATGTGTATATATATATTATATTTTTTTTATTTGGTGATCTGATGAAATAATGTATAATTAATTATTCCATCCATCCATCCCACTCCAAATGGATCTTTTGGAGTTTTGTAGTAAAATAAGAAATAATAGTATTTTATTGATTAGTGAAATTGTGTAAAAAATTTTGATATTTTTTACTTTTGACTTTACGTATAAAGTAATTATATATGTAAAGATATATTGTAATTTAGATATTTTACTATTAGTATATATTATTTTTATTAAAATAGAAAAGAGATGTTTTAAAATAAGTTCGTTATAAAATTAGCCACAACAATAAGTTTGATATACTATTTGACAACTTATTTGACACACTATTTGTCACAACAATAGATTTGATATATATTTTGCCACATCTAAATAATAATTAGTTTACAAAAATTTTCCGCATAAATTTCCACGATTTATTTGAAAATTTTTTTTCATGAATAATTAATATTTAAACAATGAAAATAAAATATTTTATTTTTTCATGTGCATAGAAATACAAATTTGATTCAAAATTTAAATTTTAGGATTCAATATTATAAATATTAGCAATAAAAAAAATATTAATACAACATTATATTTTCTAAACACTAAAAAAATTAATATTTTTAAATACATATAGTAACATCACACTACAAGAAAAAATTATTTTTGTAACAAAACTTTTTTGTCTCTAAATCTATTTTTTCCGTTGCTAATGACATTAGACACGGAATTAGTAATGGAATTACGTTAACTACGTGAACTTTAGGGACGGAATTCCGTTACAAATATATTATTTTTTTGTAGTGTCAATACAATATTTAATAAGATACATTTACATAATTCTACTAAAAAATACACATGAAACTAAATTAATATTTTGAGATATATGCTGCTCTTGGCATTGATATATGCTTCATTTGTCTTCGATTTCAACATTCTTTTTTTTTCTTGATGTCCAATAGCTTTTTTTTTTTTTTTTTTTTTTTTTTTTTTTTTTGGCATCCCATAGCTTTTCCATTTTTTAAGTTCTAAAAAATAATAATGAAAAAATTTAAAAAATAAATCATTAGTGACATATTGAAAAAAAAAATAATATAAATAGAAAAATATTAGTAATTTGAATGCAAAAATAAAATAGTGAAAGTAAATAAAAAAAAATAAAAAAAGAAACATATGAATTTTTTTTTAAACGGAAAAAAGGAAAAAAATGAAAAAAAAAAGAAGAAAACTTAATATGAGTATTAAAAATAGAAAAAGAGCAAGAAAAATAAAAAAAAAATCACAAAATATTAGTTAAAAAATATTATATATAAAAAAAACCAACAATTCAATATACACGATGATTCAACGAAAACTCAAACAACATATAATACATAAAACTAAAATTGTTCCATGAATGAGTATTCTTTCAAATTAGATAAACTAAATATTATTATATCAACAAAATAAAAATTACTAAATATTCAATTAATTTCTAGCAATATCAAAATTATACCATAAAAAGAATATAAACGTTTAGATATTACCTTTAAATATTGAGAATGATTCAAAGTAGGTAACCAGAAATAGTTGAGGAGTCAATAACAAAGTCAGAAGCTGCTAGCTTTATCTCTATTTCTCTGCATTTTGTTTAATTTTTTTAATCTACTTGCGCATGTTCTGAATTATCAATCAAACAGAGACGTTTGTTTAATATGTTATGAGTGTGTTCTTGTGATCTGTTACCACCAACATTTCTGTTATCAAAGCCGGGTTTTGCAAACTTAGGCTCCTCAATTAGCCTACTGAAAATGGCGTCAAGCAGTATGAATGCTTCCCAACCTCAAATCCCCATATTCAAAGGTGATGCATATGAGTTTTGGAGTATCAAAATGAAGACCTTGTTCAGGTCACAAGATATGTGGGAATTTGTTGAAAATGAAATCTCTGCAACAAATAAAGATGATAAGGAAGCAATCAAGAGAGATGCAAAAGTCTTATTTCTCATTCAGCAAGCCATCGATAAAACAATTTTCTTACGGATCGCAATTGCAACTTCAGCATGGGATATCCTCAAAACTGAATATGAAGGATCTGCAAAGGCAATTACAGTAAAACTGCGATACCTCAGAAGAGATTTTGAAATAGCAGTCATGAAATCTAATGAGGCGATACAAGACTATCTTGCTAGGATTTCGGCAATTGTCAGTCAAATGAGAGCATATGGTGAGAATGTGGAAAATGTTATTGTTGTGTCCAAGATCTTAAGGAGCTTACCCCCTAAGTTTGATCATGTAATTACAACAGTAGACGAGTCTAAAGATTTATCCACTTACACAGTGGATGAACTTTTGGGCTCTTTACAAACAAATAAAGTCAGAATTAACAGAAGTACACAAGAAGAAAAAGAACAAGCCTTCCAAATGCAAGGGGAGCAAGCATGTGTTGCATCAAACCGGGGCAGAGGTAGTGCTACATCTCGAGGAAGGGGACGTGGACGGATGATCTTTCCCTGTAGGACAATCAAAAAGAGCTGGAGAAAAACTAGCATTAGTCCATGCTGATATTTGTAGTCCAATGAAAACAAAATCACATGCTGGTAACAAGTATTTTCTACTTTTTATTGATGAATTATCAAGAATGTGTTGGGTATACTTTCTCACTTCCAAGTCTGAAGCCTTTGAATGCTTTAAGAAGTTCAAAGCATTAACAGAAAACCAGAGCAGTCAAAAGATTAAGGTTTTGAGGACTGACAGATGAGGAGAATTTTGTTCAACGCAATTCAAAAAATTCTATGAAGCATATGGAATTAACAGGGACCTCACTGCTCCTTATACTCCAGAGAAAAATGGCATAGCAGAGCGCAAAAATAGAACCATAGTGGAAATGGCTCGTTCTATGATTACTGCGAAAAACCTGGCAAATGACTTCTGGGCTGAAGCAGTCGCTACTGCTGTTTACTTAATCAGCATATGTCCTACGAAAGTAGTATAGAACAAGAAACCTTTCGAAGCCTGGTATGAGTTTAAACCATCAATTAATCATTTTCGCATTTTTGGCTTTTTATGTTATGCTATGGTGACTACTATTCGTCACAAACTTGAGCCAAAAACAAAGAAATATATCTTTGTTGGTTACAACTCAAATTCAAAGGCATACAGACCGTTTGATCCAGAAAAAAAAAAGATAGTAATTAGTCGAGATGTTCAATTTGATGAGAACTTGTCGTTTGAAGAAGATGGTGCAGCACAAACTTCCATGCATAAAATGATTCCCTTTGAAGAGCAGGAAGAAGATCATGACCTAAGCAAGAACCCTCCAGTAGAAGGTAGCAGCAACACCACACTAACATCCTGAAAAGAAGGTCAAATGGTTGAAAAGACTCCTCAACAGCAGCTGCGCAGAAGTGCTCGTGGTTTAATTCCTAAACGTAGGTTTCAGATTGAAGTGGTAATGATGATGAAAGCGGTGATAAGGCATCCGATCAATGTGATAAGGTTGATAATGTTGA